TATTTATAAAAAATTATTAATTATGTTTAATAAATAAAGATTTTTATAACATATGTCATAAAGATATAAATTAAGAATATCATTTTGCATTAAATATATATAGATTAATGTAAAAGTTGTTATTAATTTTAGCATCAAATGAATTTAATTGAATAATTAATAAATTAGAAGTTGATTTTTTAATATAAATTTATGACTTAAAATGTATTTAATATATTTTTAATATGTACTTTTATAACATACTTTAGATGAATCCTAATAATAAAACTAAATAAAATTTAATGTTATTAATAAAATGATTTATTTAATATATATACTAAGGGCACATGTTAAGTTTTATTAATTAAGAAATCTATAATTAATTTATTCATATCTTTTTTAGATTTTAGATATAAATATTATATTATATTTTCATTTTTATTTTATATTTTATTTTAATTGAATCTAAGAAAAAAAATTTATATATAATTAATTAGAGATTTTACCTTTAATAAAATTTGTCTAAATATATATATTTTTAATGCATCAACTTGTAATATATATATAATTTTTGTCCCTCAATTTAAAAGTTTAGAGATTAAAAAAATATATATTTGGATAAATTTAATGGACTTAAAGATTAAAAATATATATTTGGATAAACTTAATGGACTAGTTGATGAAAGTATTAAAAAGATATATTTTTCATAATTGAAAAATTAAAAAAGTGTATAAAAAAGTAAAAAAATAAAAATTGTGCAAAACTCTCATGTTGAAAGACTAAAATTGGTATTTAACCTTTACATTATCTCTCAAAATAAATTAAAATATATTATGGAGTGTGTTAAAGTGAAAAATGTATATCTGTCTTATTTTAAAAAATTCAATTCATATTTTAAAAAAATTCAATTTATATTTTAATTAAGACATTAATGGATATACTTTTTAATTGAATACATTTTATAATTTATTTATTAAAAAATTATTATTTTTGAATTTAAATTAAAAGTAAAAAAACTTAAAATTGTAAATTTTAATTCTTTAATATTAAGTGTTAATGAATGTGTTAAATTGAATGATATACCAATCATTTTCTTTTTAATTAATATTTAAAAAAATTAAATGTTGCATTGAAGATTCAGATTATGTAGTTTAATTTTTATATCATTTAACATTTATAATTCTTTAATAAAAAAATTTATTTACTTATATATATTTAATGGTTTTAAACCTTGTATAATTAATAAATTATTAGATATACTAAATTAATTTAAAAATT